AAATTAAGTTCGTGAACCGAGGTACCACTGTAGTTTTAATGTGTATACCTACATTATTTTTTAAGTTAATATCAATGTGTAGCTTCTTGTAACTTTGGATTGCCTTCAGTATAAACCCTGCATGAGCATTTTGTCAAAGTGTGTTCTTTATTGCATATAGGAAGCCCTTGATATCCACACTGTTGATAGAGCTGAAGAAAAAGAATTGCAAAATACACTGAACAATTCACTGGTTACATGTAATCCATGCACTGATTCAGGTAACAATAAAAGTTAAATTATTAGCTAATATATATCACTAGTTTTATCAGTTACAGATTCTGATTATTAATGAAGTTAGAACTAGTGTCTTCTTCCCCATTAAGCTGTGGATTGAAGCTCATGATATGGGGGATCTCACACTGAACTCAGTCTGGGGATGATCCAGCAGGGGGGATTTTCCTCAGGATTTCAATGGGGAGGCCTGAAAAGATTAAATTACCCCTCCTTATTATCAGTTCTTCCATGTAATGTAATTTGCATCTTAGACATTATATATCCCTAGTTTGGTCCCAGTTGGCTATATTTCTCTCCCTCTGTTATAAAGAAAGAGAGACATTTCATGTATCTATGAATTCCCACTAAGCTTGCCAGGTTAGACAGTACAATGTAGTGGATAAATTACTTATGCTTTCATTTCATGGGCCCTTCTCTTGTAGGCTAAGGTTCTTTTTTTCCCATATAGTCTTAAATTTCGTAACTCAAATTGTTTGGAAATGTATAAATATATATATAAATAAATATATGTTTGGCAGATGGTCAAAGAATACAACAGCTGGAAAAAGAATTGTTAGAAGATTTGAAGTCTTTTAAGTACAAACAAGTAATACATCCAAGTCTTCAAGAAGGTAGGTATAAGTTCTGTGAAATATTCCTGATCTTTTTATTATGTAGATTATGCATGTTGTATTATTTGTTATGTATTGGATGTGAAGATTAGATTGATGAAAATGCAGAGATCTACACAGATTGTTATTTTCATTGCTGTCAGAATAATGTGCAGCTTGTATCAGATGGAAATTAAGTTGCATAGATTTGAGGCTGCATCTTCTTCTACCAAACATACCAATTGAACTGGAATGTATTATCTTTGACAAGCATACTAGTTGAGTTAATACAAATACTGTTCATGAACTCTATTCTACATTTTCCCTGTATAACCACTTCAGTCACATAAGCTTTTATTTTGAGCAATCTGATACTCATTATTCAAGAGGATTACTGTGTAGTCTTTGAAAAAACAGAATCCCAGTTGGGAAGCGTAGTCATAGCTTATTGTATCACTTGACTATCTTTTTATCTGTCTTCAGTGCCTGATACCATCTATTTAGTGATCTGGAGGTGGTATACAGTGGTAACAAATAGCATGAAACAGTCAAATTGATCCCACCCTTGAAGTATTATTAAAATGAATTAACCTCAGCAAGATTTAAATTAAGATAAAAACTAACACAATTCAGTGCCTCTCTTCCTGAATAAGTAGTCTTCAAACTCCAAAAGCTTGTGGGAAAAGCCATCCTGCTCTTCTGAAGATGACAATCCAGATCTTAATGAGGAAATTTATTCCAAAGAACGGAGGCCACCATGAGAAGGTCTGCTTCCACACTTCTGCCCCTCTAACCTCACAACTGCAGCATTTCCTCCCAAGATGAATGAATAGAATTGGAAGATTCTCTTTAGGGGAATTATTCGCAAAAGTAGCGTGGCTGCATGACCTATAGAGCTTGCTGTGTTGTGTTGTATTGAACTGTATTTATCACAGACTGAGGCTTATATGCCAGTCCTGTGTATACAACCTTATAAGTTAATACTGACATATGGACCAGTACTTGGAAAACTATTGGCAGTCAATGCAATACGGGTAGTCCCCACTTAACCACCTTAATTGAGACCGGAACTTCCATCACTAAGTGAAGCAGTCATTAAGCAAAACATTACATTACATTACATTACATTACATTACATTACATTACATTACATTATTGGTTAACAGTGGCAGTTCTGGCAGTCCTAGTTGCAGTCATTAGGCAAGGACTGTGTGGTTGTTGGGCAAGGACCAGTGCTTCTCCTGTCCTGCGCGAACTGTCTCTGCTTCATCTCCCCCTACCTGCCTATCTCCTCCCCATCTCTGCCCTTTTTGGCCACCCTGCACTCTATTGCTGCCCCCAACTGACCTTTGCCATTTTCTTCCTCCCACTGCTAGCCTGGCATCCAGTTGCTGGATGAGAGTGTGGCAAGGCAGTAGAGCCTTGTCTGCTGAAAGGAGCTTACCAGGCCTAGCCAGAGAGGAGGCAGGGCAGTGGTGTGGGTGGAGGAGCCCCATCTTCTGCTGCCAGTGCAAGGAGCCATAACCCACAGACCATGAAGAGCACAGCAGGACAGGCTGGTGAGGTGTGGCACGCTTTGTTGCCAGGAGAGGCAGCTGCCCAGGCAAAGGTGGCAGCTGTACAGGAGGTGCACATCTGCTTAGCTCTGGGTGGAAATGTATAACTGTATATCATCAGCATGTTGATGATACCTCACCCTGAAGTGGCCAGTGATGTTCTTAGTGCTTTCTTATAGAAATTAATACCACGGAGGAAAATGCCAAACCTCATAATGTCCCACATCAGAGCAGTCACAGATTCAAGTGCTCACCCCCCTTTGCTGTCAGTTGGAACTGCCAGTTGACTTGGGAGGGAGTGTGACTGTCACAAACAGGGCCTCCAACTCCCAACCCTTGTAGGTGATCTGGGATGATATCAAGGTCAAGCCAAGTGCCATTGAGAGATTTAGTAAGACCAAGAGAGCTCTGTAACCTCCATCCATATTCTGATGGAGATCAAGAGCAGTTTCTGTCCCATACCCAAATCTGTATACTCTTCGAAAGGAGTCCAGGCAGTCTGTTTCATTCAGAGTAGTTTGCAGCTGTAATCCCACCAACTTTTCCAAAACCTCAAAAAAGATTAGAGATTGGGCAGAAGTTGTCCAACACAGTGGCATCAAGAATTTGCCTTTTCAGGAAGGGATGCCCCATTGACTCCTTCAAGATGGGAAGTGCAGTCCCTTCCTTTAATGAAATATTAATCACCTCTCTTTCAACCATCTTTTGCTGTCTTAAGGAGCCAGGTAAGTCAGGATTTCAGCCTACAGGTGGCAAAACCCATGTTGCAAAGAATCTTGTCTTCCTTAGAGACTACAAGATCAAAGGAATCCCAGGTAATTTTGCAAGACATTCTCTCAGTCTCTACTTACCCCTCTGTTGCTCTGTTTTGTTCAGTATGCCAGGCCACCTATGGTAATTTCTTTCTCAGTATTTATTTACAAAACTAGGTTATCTTATTGGGCTGCTTGTTGGTTGAATAATTTATTACATATTTAAGTGGCAACATGTTATTTTTTTTTCATATTTCACCTACTATGGCTGAAATACATTTTTTTCATATTGCTTCTCATTCCATTGAGGAACAAAGTTAAGTCACATTTTCTACATTTTTGTATAGGTTTGAGAGTCAGTGTGGATACCCAGATTCCTTTAAATAGCATATTTCTACCTATTCTCTATGACAGGAGTTTTCAAACTTTTTTCGAACTGCAGAACCTGCTAGTTAAAAAAAAAAAATCCCAAAGTCCCTGATCTGCAAAAGAGTCAGTGTGGTGCTTTTTTGTGGGAAAACAAGCCTGGGTCCTTTTCACTGTGCCTTGGACAAAAGGAGCTATTGATGCTCCTGGCTGCATTTTAAAGTTTTTCCCCCCTCAATCACTCAGGGAACCCCATCAAGTTCCAACGGACTCTTAGTGCGTTCAGTCATTGATTGATTGATTAAATTGATGCTTTGCTACAGTGCTCATTTAATTACCAAAAAAAAAAAAAAAGATTCTGAGCATCTGAATGTGTAGAAGTGAGGAAAGTTGGAAGCTTGGAAACTCTTAAAAATGGATTCCAGAAATAGATGAATAGAACTATGCATGTAGAATAAGATTCTCTTGTTTCTTCTCCCAGCAAAACAATCATAAGAGTTGAAGAACAGGGGCAGTATGACGGGGCACCAGGGGCTGTAGTAGAATTGGGAAATTGTGAGATTGTCTTGTGAAAATGGGTTTCTGCTTATGCAAAGTAGCTCTGGATCCAAGAAATACTGACAGTGGGAAGTGGAAAGATAAAAAGCCAAATCCAGATTGATGTAGGCTTAATTTGGATTGTGTCTTCAACTTTGGTCGTGAGATCAGGTGTTTATGGTAGACTTTTTCCCTCCCCTTTTCTCTTCAGTACTGCACCTTTCTCATTAAGTTGAACTCTAGTGAAGAGTGATATCAACATATAAATTGGGTACTGATACTGTGTAATGAAGCCATATTAATGCCAGTTAGATTTCTTCTTAAATTACATTTCAAGCTGTTTTGCAAACAGTTAAGGGGAAACTTTGTAGCATTGAATTTGGTTAGCTTTGTATCCATGTAATGTTTAATTATGGTGGAATAATTTATACTGGAGAGGGAACCAATTGAAAAGTATTGTGTTTTTAGCTTTATATTCTGTAAAATGAAATCCTGGCAAGACAAAATAGGACTGTAATCTTGATATACATACAAAATTGTTTTCAGAATCATATAAAAAGATCTTTCTTTCTTTCTTTCTTTCTTTCTTTCTTTCTTTCTTTCTTTCTTTCTTTCTTTCTTTCTTTCTTTCTTTCAGTGGGTTTAAAATTGAATTTTGTGGACCCAACAATGAGCATTGATCTGAAGTATTTGGGTGTGCAGTTGCCATTAAGTTATTCAGGTGAATATACTTCATGGAAAAATGTAGGAACTGATTCCAGTTCTGCTGGTAAGTCAGCATCTTAATATAGGCATGCTTAAAGTGAGTTGCAGAGTAGTTCTTTGAAAGAGATTTGCAGCAGTACAGCATGTTTTGTTTTTTGCCACCATCTATAGATATATTGTTCAGTAATGTGGTTGTGTTTATACACTGTACAGTACAAAGTTTGTTTAGCTGTAGATACTGGATGAATCAAAGTAGCCTGGTTCACCCATATTAAGCCATAACCCATGGTTTATTGTAGTGGCTGGGCTCCCATGTTGTGCTAAGCTCAAAACAAACCATGATGTGGGTTAATGTAAGTGAGCCCAATCTGCATTTATAATAATTGGATGCTCCCATAAGCAGTATGTACAATATTCTTTAACAATATGTTAAACATCTATAGAGTTTGACTTATATTGATTTCAGTGATTCAAATGGAAAGATATACCCAATTTGTAATACTGCACTATATCTCCAAAGAAAACAAAAATAAAAAATAGAATATATATGTTTAGTATTTTTTTCAGAATTACATACATAACTTGCTTATTTATTGATTTATTTGTTTGTTTAACAAATTTACATAGCTGCCCATCTCATAGAGCATGACTCTGGGTGGCATACAATACATAAAACAATAAACATCATAAGACACTAAGTAAGAACAACAAAAAAAAAAAACTCAAAATAGCAGAAGAGACACCCATTATTTAACATCACACAACCATCTTGCCAGCTCACCATAGGACTCCCAAAGTTGATGGAAAAACGACGTTTTGAGGGCTTTCTGGAAGGCAAGTAAGGATGGGGCTGATCTCACCTCGAGGAATGACATTTTGTAGGGTGGGGGCCCCAGCAGAAAAAGGCATACTGCTTGGGTCCCGCCAGATATAACTTCTTAATAGACAGGACTTGCAGCATATCCCTCCTGCTTGACCTGATGGGATGGGTAGATATAACAGGGAAGAGGCGATCCCTCAAATAACCTGGCCCAATGCCACATAGGGGTTTAAAGGTCAACAGCACCTTAAATTTCATTCAGAAGCATACTGGCAACCAATGCAGCTCGCAGAACAGAGATGTAACATGTGCCATCCTAGGGGTGCACATAACTCTCTGCACAGTTGCATTCTGCACCAGCTGAAGCTTTCAGATACTCTTCAAGGGAAGCCCCACAAAGAGCATGTTACAGTAACCCATTCTAGAAGTGACCAGAGCATGAGTATCTGTGAGTAGAGCCTTGTGATCCAAGAAATGGTGCAACTAGCACACAACGTGAAGTTGCACAAAGGTCCTCCTAACCACGAATACCACCTGCTCCTCAGGCAGGAGTCATGAGTCTAGAAGGACCCCCAGATAGTTTTTATTTGGCTGTTGTCTCCGCAACATTTCAAGTACATGGTGGCAAATGTGTATTTATTATGTGTGTACTGTATTTTATATTTTATATTCTGTAACTTGTTTATCAAGGCAAGTGTTTGCACGGCTGTGTAGTTTTTTGTTCTCATTTTTCTCCACTCACTTATACTGCCAGATGCTGGACTTCACTTTATTTCGAGGACTGGAAAGACAAATGACATCACAAAAATAAAGGGTTGGCGAGGAAAATTTCATAATTCTTCAAAAAATGAAGGTAAGAGGAATGTTTTTGATGCAGAATGTTACTACAAGAAAATGAAATGAAAGAATTCATAGAATTTATTTATGAATTTCAAATGTTCTGTGTCTATAGATCACAGAGGATAGATAGTAAGTTGTGCAAAGTTATTGTCTATTTTTGAAAGAAATTTATTTAATTTTGGATTTTGGTTGATAGAAAATACTCAAGATTTTTTCCACAATGTAACTAAAAGTATAGACCAAAAATGCATTGCATTATTAATATCAGGCTCCCTCCCTTAGCTGACTCACTCTTGATTGAAGCTTCCCAGATACTTGACATGGCAAGGGTAGTAAGGAAATCTTTATTATACATTAAGACCATTTAAACAGTTGTTTGTCCACTAACAGAATGAAGGTATAGTCATTTCTTACACCCTTTTAAACTACCTTCTTAATTAAATAGATGCTTCTTCCTCCAGTTGTTCCCATAGCCTAATGGAAACTACTTTGTCCTTCCTGTACATGGCTCTAGGAGGCTGTTGGTCACTGACATATTTTTTTCCAACAATCTTATTAAGAGTTTTAGATAGAACAGTAAAAGAATACAAACAAAAAAAGGGGAAAAAAGTTGTAAGAAAAGGAAACAAAACAAAAAAATCCTCCCTTCTAAAAAAGTGACTTCCCACCCTTACCATGACAAGTATAAACAATTCTATAATCTCTTCACCTCTTCTTGTTTAGCCAATATATAACTCTTCATACCACAACCCATCTCTTAACAATAGGCAAATCAAATAAGTAACCTCTTCTCCCATCCAATCCTCAGCAAAAAGTCCAAACAGAGCTGTAAAATAGTTACATTAGTTAACAAATACAAAATTCAACATTCCACATCTCCACTCTTAGCTAAAACAAAATCCCATTTAAAAGGCAAAAAAGTCCCAATATCCCAATATAAACAAAGTGAAAGAAAGGTTTAACATAACAAAAAGAGACCATTTGTTCTTTAGAAAAGACAAGGTCCAATACCCAGCATTTTTACCCTAAGTAATAACTTACCCATTCTGATAAACGTTACATATCTCAACTCGAAACTATAAACAAATCCACAAAAGACTGAAATTTAGCATAACAGAAATAATTTATCCTTTAAAGAAAACAAGACTAAACTTCCTTATTTTAAGTAAAAAGACAATTAAATACAAAGTCAATTTAAGTACTATGAAATTAAGATACATAAAATAATAATAAAGAAAAGAACTTAAACAACTTATTAACTATAAACAAATCCAGTGTACCACATTTTTTTTCCAGTTAAGATATCTGCAAATTCAAAAAGAACTAGCCAGAATAACATGTCCCATTTTATCCCTGGTTGAATAAACCGATTTTATGTTCCTTTTTTCTTCTATACAGAACAATCTTTCTCTGTAATCCATTCAGATGGTAGTTGACCTTTG